TTACACAAATGTCTGGAATGCTTTTTAAAAACTGTTCGACAGAGTTATACCGAAGCTCATGAAATGGAATTTTACTTCCTACTAATTCTCGGTAATCCCTCTGTACGGTCGTAATTGTGGATACAAGCGGCGAGGAAGTAAGAATACTCTTTATAATACTTTTTACCTCTGCTTCGGTAGCTGCCTGAAAAGTTAGTAATAAAATATAGATTTCGAGATGAAAGAAGCTACTAAATTTAGAGCAACTTACCATTTTTAACAGATATTGTAATTAAAACCAAATTAAACATAGAATAAAATCAAAAGGACCTCGAATCGCACATTTTTATACCACTATTAGCACTTTCACGACTTTTTGGGTTCCGTTTTCCGCTTTATTGAAACCACAGATTCCCATAACTTAATACATGTGTTTATTTAAAATGACACAATGCTGATCTGTGGGTATAACGCTTGGATAATATAAATTATATATGATCTATTCACAACACATTCTTTTGTGGTAGTCTTTTCTATGACCCATTAGAGATGTATTTATTTAAGTAGGAATATCGATATAGACTGAATGATTGCCCGCATGTGCACGAGAGGACGCGGCTGATCTGGCGCCAAATCTGGCGCGGACTTTAGGCGGCTCAAAAACTAGTCGACTGGTTGTCTAATTTTTGCAGGGCGTCCCAAAAAAATCTCATTCAGTTTATTATTGCATTTTTGGATTCCTTTCTGATCACTTTACAGTACATCTGCTGGATCTGTGTCTATGAAAGGAATGCGGACAAAAAACATTTAAATAAACAGCAATATATTTTATACGTCGATTTGACGAGTGCGTCACCGCAAATCGCTCCGCCCACTCATTTTATTGGCTACTGCCAAATTTGTTGAATTTTTATTGATGAGACGCGTCGTCTGTTTTTTTACGAAAAACATCGAGAGAATATCGTTTCCCCACTTACGGATCCCGTAGCTACAGAACGGACAGACGTACTGTACATACTTCTAAGATATCATTAAATTTGTTTTGATGTTTGAATAAGGTTTTGATAGTTTCAGAGATATTAATAAATAAAAAAAAAACATTTTTTAGACTTTTCTAAAAAAAAATAACAAAAATACAAAAATTGTTTTTTTAATCAAAACTATGCCAGGTATTTACTAAAGTTAGTCTGTACTTACTTTGCTATAAATATCTTAAATTATACAGGGTGTTCAAAACTCCAAGCCAAACTTTCTAAAATATAAAATTTTGTTTTTAAATGGATTCCTACCATGTATATTATTTTTTTACACATTTTCAACAATAGATTATTATTGGCTACTAGATTTTAACAACTTGGTGTCACAAGGAATATTTTTGTAGGTCAGATAATAATGTATTCAATTAATTTATTTTGATTAAAAATACGTAGAATTGATTCTATGTCCGAAGAATATTGGAACATACCGTATAATTGTTGATACTACAGTTAGAGTGCCTCTTGAAATTGTATCAAAACATGTAGGTAAACACTTAAAATACAGTTTTATCATCAATAAAATTTGTGACAATTTTGAAAAACAAATTAGTATTTTTCAGATCGTGAGTCCAAAAAGTGAATTAAGATGCTGTTTAGAATAGTGGCACTCGCTGTTGTTTTTCTTAATGGTCATATTGTAAGTACAAAGTTTCATAAAAAAAAAAAAAAAATATAGTCTGTCCAACGGGAGAATCCCTGACAGTGACAATTGTGTCAGGGGCGGACAAAGGGACCGACAGACTTTTTCTAAGACCTTTAGTTTTTACAATTATTAAGTTTAGTTAATACAAGATGACCTAATAGCAATACTAAAGTGCTTCAAAGGCACTTTAGCACAAAGGGCAGTATATAATATGGGCTTAATCTTGTTTTAATTTAGTGCCAACAAGTAAATACGCCAGATGGACCAATCTTGGGTACTACTGAATATTCCATAGCTGGTACACCGTATTCTTCGTTTTATTCCATTCCATATGCCAAACCTCCAGTTGGAACGTTAAGATTTCAGGTAATTAACATAATATAGTCTGTTCAACGAAAGAATACATGACATTGACAGTTGTATCTGTCATTTTAATTCACAGACAAATTGTATTTTCTGTCATTTTTTGAATGTCGTCTGTCGAAATTTTTCCTGACTCGTTTGGATAATCTTTACTAAAAAAACGAAATTATTTATTTATTTTATGCTAGACCGCAAAACCGCCAGGGTTGCATGCTCGGTCTTGGTCTTGGTCTTGCAGATCTTTGTCTTGCTTGTTGTGCAAGACTAAGACCGTTGATTGAAAGAATTGGGAAGATACCCAATTTTGATCTGTAATACGTTTGACGAAAATATCTTTGGATGAAAAATCCGCGTTTTATGTATTGAAAATTTATTCGTGTTCAACATAGAATAAACAACAAAAATAAAAATTCTTTTATAGGTACTGAATATTTCGTATGATCGAAAAAAGTCGTTTAGTTAGCTTGGAAATGACGATTTATTGACATTTACCATAATATTTTACAAATGAAATAACAGCTGCGGTCTTCATTTCCAAGCCAATTCTGACGCCGTTCTTTGTTTAATGTAATGTAATATTCGCATGTAATATTTTATTAAATAATTATTTAATGATAGTAAATTCGTATTATTAACGTATTGTACCCAAAATCCGTAAAACTACAGGTTAATCCGTAGTTCTGGCAACACTGTCTCCGGCAACCACCAACTCTGTTGACTGAAAGCAGAACTACGGTACAGTATTTTTTATCCGCTGCGCTGCAAACGAAAATGCGAAAAACAAACCAAATCACCGCGCAACGGCGCAGAGCTAAACTAAATCTCGGACATCCTGACGGTAACGCCAGTTACATCTCGGACATATTTTGTACCACGAAATCGCCCATAAGGTTGCACATCTTTCTTCAATCAACGCTAAGACTCTAAGAGCAAGACCAGACTTGCTCATATTTATTAACCGATCGGAAGTCAAACTACTTACGTAAATGTAAACAATTAATAATAATTAAAGTTGTGGATGCGTTTTTAGGCTCCCCAAGCTGTAGAGCCATGGACCGAAGTATACAATGCTACCACCGAACAAAAACGAGTATGCTATCAGCTTTATCAAGATTTACCTGAAGAAACCGAGGATTGTTTACTTCTCAATGTATATGTACCACAAGTAAGTAAAATTCCCTTTTAACATTTTTTTATAGTAGGTATTTAAGAGTCACATTTTACATTAACGGTTACTGTTTGATCGAGCTATAGCTTGTTTAACAAAAGTGTTTTTAGATGTATATGTATTTTGACTATTTTTATAACGGAAATTCTTTGTCCTTCTCCATTCTCGATTCCAATGTCCAATGATGTTATTTTGTAGGGTCTTATTGTGTAAAGGATGTTTTGTTAATTAAAGCATTCAAACTGTCCTGATGATGGGAATACATTTCTCGAAAGCTTGACAAATTATTGACTGCATTCTCACTAAAATTAGTAATTTTTTGTTATAGTATTTATGTACCGGCACTATATAATACTCTGGATATAGTATTTAGTAGAGTATAGTAGATTTAATGGTGACTTACGCACCATTAAATCTTGGTGCGATTCTAATCTCCTTTGCCTCAACCTATCAAAAACTAAAGTTTTGTCATATAAAAGTACTGTACAACCTTTTGTACTTAATAACACCACTACTGACTTCGTGGACTCTGCGAAATTCTTAGAGGACTTGTAGACAACTCGTTAAAACGGGACTTGCTCATCGAAGCTTTATCAAAGAAACCATGCAAGCGCTGCCTGTTTTGCGCTAAGATCAGTTTCTAAGGAACTTAACTTATCAACCTCTAGAATAGCCTATATTATGTCCTTTTTGAGTCATATCTTCGTTATGTCCTTCCATTCTGGGGTACTTGCTGCGCAACAAAATTTGATCGTATTTTCAAACTTTAAAAGAGAACAGTTCGATATTTATTGGGACTGAACAGTAGATCTCACTGCCAGAATTTCTTTAAAAATTCCAAAATACTGACTCTTCCTTCTTTATTCATTTTTGAATCCGTTTGCTTAACCCGCAAGCACGTATCTGCTATTCCCGAAAGGCCATCTCACAACCACACTCACAACTTAGGAATGCGGAGCACGATCTTTTTCTGTCAATCCCGAGCTCAGAATTAGTTAAAGGGTCAATACTGTATAACGCCAAAAAAATGTACAATCATCTGCCTATGAATATCAAGTCGCTTTCATTCTTTCCCGCATTTCGTAAAGCTCTGAAATCATACTTACTGGAGAGAGCCCCTATATGCGGTAAACGACTTTTTTGTTGATGTTTAATCATAAACAATTTTGAATTTTAAAATCTTGATCATCTCACACATTGGTCAAAGTCAAGTATTTAATATTTTATAACTCTTAAAATTATATCCATTTACAATTTTCCTAGTGTAAAATTTTATTGATACGCCTTTTTTTGTGATTTTAATGACTTAATTTTTTTTGAATTGTATGATTTGTATTGTATATTATTTGTGCTTTTGTTTGTTTTGTAAAGGCTTTGTCGATGAAGCTATTTTGGCTTTTTGCACAATAAAGCGTTATTTATTTATTTATTATCCAATATAACAGCTAAATTCTTAAATTGATTTAGAATTTTAACAACAAACTTTATCCTTTAGTCAAATGCGACTGATATACCCGTCATGCTGTTTATACATGGCGGTGGATTTATTTCTGGTTCTGGACTTAATGGAGGACCTCAAGGATTTTATCGCCCCAACTTCTGGATGGATAACAACGTTATTCTGGTCTCTATTAACTATAGACTTGGAGTTTTTGGTGCGTATTTGATATTCAGTATCCTGTATTTAGAACAAAGAACAAATCACAAAAACAAACATAAATGATTTAAGGTTTCTTTTCTACTGGAGACGAAGTTATCCCAGGTAATAATGGGTTGAAAGATCAGGTTCAAGCAATGAAATGGGTGCAGAGAAACATCGCTTCGTTTGGTGGTGATCCTAAGAAAGTTCTGATTTTTGGACAATCTGCTGGTAGCGCTTCTGTAGGTTGGCATCTGTTAAGTTCATCCAGCACTGGTATGTACAAGAAATACCGTAAAAAACGGCGTCTAGTTGGAAATGACGATCGATGACATTCCCCATATAATTTTACATGTAAAACGACAGCGATCTTCATATCTGTATCATAGATAAAGAATTGGTTATATACTTAGTTTACAGTTGCTTTGCAGACCGGCCGTTGGTCCCCAATTTTCAAACTTTATTAATATAAATTTTACTTTGTTAGGTTTGACTAGGCTGCTATTCTACAATCTGGTACTCCCTTATGTCCATGGGCTTATCAAAGGAACCAGACCACGATATCATTGCAAGACGGCCAGTTTGATGGGCTCGCAGTCAGTGTAATACATCCAGAGATTCAAACAAATTATTGGAAGTATTGCAAAGTGTAGACGCAGACCATAGACGATGCTGCATTAACCTTTGCAAATTGGGTATTGAAGGCATTTATATATTTTTTAGGGGACTATCTCGGGTCAAGCCATTTTCACTGTAAAAAATGTGCTGAAACTAGTAGTGGGTGCGTCACTCAGTTCACTGTAGAGAAAACTGTATTATAAAACTGCGTGTGTGTGACAGGCTTTAGTACAGGATGCAGTGGCGGCTCGTGAGTATATAGGAAGGCTATATACGAAGGCTATATATTATGTGTACTAGATAGAAGTGGGAATTCTAGTTCCTTGGGAGGAACTAGTTCCTTAGTTCTAGTTCCTCCAGAGAAATAGTTCCTTGAATTAGGTCTTTAGTTCACAATAGTTCCCGACTAACATTGACATCCCCCCTTGCTTGCTAATGCGGTTTCGTTGTCAGTCAGAACTATTCACAGTATGATCTGTATAATTTTATAATGTACGGAGATATGAAGACGTGTAATTGTGTATGTTAAAACATATAGGTAAGTTTTATTGCAGATAAAAAAAATAAAAAAACTTAAATCAGAATTTAAAAAGCTATATCACAAATCAATTGGAGCAAATATTACAAAATTTACGAAAAATTGCATTTTTCCTCACTTCAAACTTTTTTTGTCACAAAAATTCAGAATATCTACTTCGTTTTATAAGATATTTCTTAATTTTAGGGACCTAAGTGAAACATTCCCATAAAATATTTAAAAAGTAAACTAAAATCAAAAACAGTATCCACGACAATTTTCTGTGGTAATTACGCCCGCGCCGGCTGTGGCAATAGATAGTGGCAAGGCCGAATCCATCGTCGCCTTGTATTATATATCTCGGATCTGCCTACTGAATAGATTCCCGTGAACTAGTCTTTTAATAGTTCCTCTGTCGAGATCCGATAACATACGTCTGGCACTCCTACGCCTGCCTAGCATCGATCGCGCTGGCCCGATCCGTTCATTGCAAACTGGTATTTTTTATTTAGTTTAGTTCCTCTAGGTCGAATCCATTAACGTACGCTGGCACTCCCATAGACGATGCTGCATTAACCTTTGCAAATTGGGTATTGAGGCATTTATATTTTAGGACTATATCTCGGGTCAAGCCATTTCACTGCCTACCATCGGGCTACGCGCGCTAGCCGATCCATCGCGTCGCCGTCACATATTCTATATCGGTCACAGGAACAGGTTCTGAGGAACTAGTTCTTTGAGAAACCAGGAACTAGTTCCTTTCATTCCGAGGTCGGAATAGTTCATTGGAATTAGTTCGTTCACGAACTACACACCTCTAGTACTAGAGCCATACGCTAAATAAATAAATAAATATTTTATCTGCCTTGTTATGAACTTTCTAAAAACAAAATATAATCTATATGTACTTATTTCATAATCAAGGTAAAAAGTTCATTGTTTAACTTTTTAACATAGGCGGCCGTTTTAAATTAGGTACAAACAGACGAAAATGGAACAGCCCGTACAGGTTCAAATGCGCAACCTGGCCTGCACAGTCAGCCTGTGCTAAACAACTGAACGTCTGTGAGGACTCTAATGAATAATTTATTACAGGATTCTAGCCAGCCCAATTGGGCGGAGAGGAAACAATTAGAACAAGGATTTTATTTTGCTCCTGTAGTCGAAGTTGAGAACAACGAATCTTTTGTAACGGAATATCCTTATGTCATTTTGGAAAATGGAAATTTCAATAAAATACCTATCATGATCGGTACAGATGCTGACGAGGGACTTATGAACTTATCAGGTAGGTATCCAATACGGAGTTAACCTGAAAACACCATTTATACTTATAAATTAACGGTATTAATGTTTTGGTAGAATATCTAGATAGTCAGTTGGCTGCTTATGACGAAGCATATTCAAGAATGAACCCGGGAAACCTCCATCTTGTTGATGCACAAGATATCAGTGAAGTTGAAATGCCATTAAAGAAGAATATTCCCCATGGATATGATTTTTAAACAACAAATTAGGTGCCTTTGAGGTTTGAATCGTTTTTGGTATATTTATGGGGGAAAATCTCCTGTAGCTCTTAAATTGTACCTCTTCAATATCTGGTTTATATCTGCAATGACGAGATACTTCGTGGTATATTTAGTAAGATCAATAAGACTTCCAGTAATAGCTAAGATATTTTACAAGTAGAACGAGTACTTGTATGAGAAATACATATAAAAGGTTCTTTGGGTGTCACAAACTGAGCGTGCAGTAGAAGTTTATAGAGAATTACAATATCTAGATCGGATATTTTTTGCACATCATTATTTTACAATGAGATCTATCATTTAAAAATATTTTAATATGGCGGCACTTCCGGGAATATCGGAAATTGTCAGCAGTTTTCTTATTTTAAATAGGTACTTCCATTATTTTATTACATATTTAAGTTCTCTGTCAAATTTTATGAATTTTGATATTAATAAACACTCTATATCTAACATTGACCGTTTTTGAGAAAAAAATTATTCAAAATTTTTCGAGGAAAAGAACTGCCTGTCAAAAAAAGTTGTAGAACCTAAACATCAAATTTAGTGAAGACATCTATTTCAAAAATTAAATTGTTTGAATGCCATATATCTAATATTGGCTGTAGCTGTTTTAAAGCGTACATTTTTCTTGATTTTATCTAGTTTTCTTTGACATTAAGTGTCAAACAATTAGACAATTTATTTCCTTCTGTCAGAAAACTAATTATTTGAATATCGTATTATATTATAAATACTGCTGCTAAAACTTTATAAAGTGTATTTATACAAAATATATCTGGTATTTTAGTGATATCTACTAGTTGATATTAATATTATATAACATTTATGAAAAAAAACGGCGCAAAGTTGGCTTGGAAATGACAATCGATGACATACATGTCCCAATATGACATGGCCAGATATATTGTTTACATTACTTGACGTTTAAAGTAATAGGTTTAAAAACCAGAAAAATATACGTTTTAAAACTAAATCTTAAATAACTTAAAAACGATTTATTTTAGGTATAGGAATATGTATAATCAAAAAGTAACGAATTAAAAAACGTTTTCACTAGTGAAATAAAAAAAGTAGGTTTCCATTTGGAAAAAATGATTTATGATAATTTTTCAAATATTTAATAAAAAATGGGGGTATCCATTTAAAATAAGAAAGTTGCTGTCAAGTTCCGGTATTTTCGGAAGTGCCGCCATATTG